GTTTTGCGACTCTCTTCGCCTGACTCTCGAGAATGCTCGTGTAGGTAGTTTGACACGGTCGTAAAAGACGGGCGTTTTAATACAATTTACAAGAAAGTATCAAGCTGGCGCGCCCCGAGCCACTCTACTGGGTGTGCCAAGTGAAATCGGCCACCCGATTTATCTCGCTCCTTCATTCTCTTCTCCCTCCTCTTCGTTCTCGAATCCGTGTTCGAGACACGATTTTTTATTCGTCGCACAAAAATTTTAAGAATATTTCACGAAGCCGATCGAGCGAAAATTTCTTAAATATTCCACCCTCGGAGGGATCGATGAAATCGAATCGAATTGAAAACCGTATTTCTAGATATAATAAACTACAACAATATAATATTCGAACGCTATATCTTTCTCGTCTCAAACTTGGAAAAAATTTTCATATTTGCAGGATTCCCATACTTTTCTCACTGCGAAATATATATATATATATTTTATTAATCGCTTTCTTCGAATACAAAAATTCTTCCTCTACATTTTCCCCATTCTCCTCTTCCTTTAAAAAAGAGGAAAAGAAAAATCAAAATTCTCCTAATAAAAAACTTCTCCTCCGAGGGAGGAGAGTCGTCCGTTGAATTCGAGTTGGACGAGGGAAAATATATATATAATTGTGTAGAACGATCGCGGCCGGTAAAAACGGTCGGCGTGGATTCGCATCAAAAGGGAAGCAATACCATTACGGGGAGACTTAATTATCCCCGCGGCGATGCGTCACGATTTGATAGGATGGGATTGAAACGCGGCTCGTTGATGGCTAATCACCGTTTCACGGGGCGCGCAGTTGTCGAGGTAGTAAGGTTAAGGAATCGCAGCCACGGTGTGACGTCAAATGTAATATTTCACGAGGTTTACGAGGCAGCCATCTCGATCCTTGGAAACGCGTATACCTGGCGACATCGGTTTCTCAACGCCGAGCTTCCAACCGAGTTGGAAATTCACCACTCTCTGTCTCTCCCTCCACGACCTCCTTCCACGCTTCCTTCGCTAATTGTCGCTTATTAAAAAAACGGCCGTTACAATGCTGTCGAGGGGGGGGGGGTCCTTCCTCGGAGTTTCGACCCTTTTCAACGATCCGTTTCAAGTGATCCCCCCCTCCCCTCCTCCCTCCACTCCGTTTCGAGAATCTTCGACGAAAATGTTTCTTCGCGCCCCCTTCCTGCCATTCTCTCGTCGTTTTTTTGTTCCAGTTGCGCGCGAATTAATGGAATTAATGGAATCCTCGATCGATTCTCGAGGAATTTTCATTTAATTCTGTGAACAAATATTGTGTGGAGATTCTGGCAGTTCTCCGCTACGAGAGTCTTTGGTAGAATGGTGGGGAGGGGGAATGATGAGGGGGGGAAATGTTGGGAAAAATCGAAAATTTTCCCTCTCAATTTCACGAAGAAGAGTATTATCATAGAAATCATAGAAATCGCGTTCGATTAATCATCGAGATAATTAAGTTTTCACTCCGTATGAACAGATTAGAGACGATTAAAGCCTGATACCTTCGATCGTGAATTTGTAACTCTGATGCAACCGAAATTCGAAATCTAATACAATTGAAATGTCGAAACCCATTTCGCGTAACGAATATACGCATAATCGTTCTCGTGTAATCACGATAAATTATCCGTTCAAGATAAAAGGAAAATAAAATATATATTATAATCCGTATCGAACTACATTCTAACACCCGTTAAAAGCGACTCGATAATTCTCTCGTTCGAATACCAAAACGAAGGTTTAACAATATCATTGGCATAAAATATAACACGTTATTATTCGATCAAAATTGTTAAGATCGTAAAGTGCAATGATCTACGTTGCATATTTTCTTCTAGATAAGATCGATATGTAAAAAATATGATGAAATCGATCGAGAAAGATAAGATCATCGAGAAATCGAATATACGAGAGACAGAGGATGGAGAAGAAGGAGAAGACTAGATGCTTGCGTTGACCGTGTGGGAAAGAGAGAGGGAGAGGGAGATAGGAAATCGAGGGGAACACGCGGCCATTGTCACGTCGCTACAAAATTAACACATTCTTCTCACTCCACGCCGGTAGCCTGACGACAATCGCGAAATAATGCGAGCCGCACGACCAACCGAACGCTCGAAATGTGCGGCCGATGTTGCGGTCTGTTCTAACCCTTTCCACCTACCCCCTACGAAGCGTCACGACGTCTGCATTTACGCTCTTCCACTTTTCACCGCCAACTTTGCTCCATCTCTTTACTCTTATCTCGAATCTTGCGAGGAAATGAAATTATCTTGTGTGACAATTTTTCACACACAATGATATTCGATTTATTCGTTTACTCGGTATCGTTCTGGTAATTCTTTTATCTATCTGGATAAAGGTTATCGTGACACGGGCAATATCCTTGTCAAACTTTTCCCCCACTGAATCCGTTCTCATTTGGCGCAAACTTTCGATCCTTTGAAAAACTTTCCACGTCCTCCCTGCTTTGATAAAAATAAAAGTTAATAACTGCTATCGTACTTGAAAAAAAATAGTAATAATAATAATAATAATAATAATCCAAGCTTCAGGATTAAATATGTATCGATCTACGAACGTATTGTTGGTAAAACGATAAGACAAATAATGAAGAGATAATGAAACAATGAAAGTAGAAGAGGAGTGGAAGCGAGGAGTAACGGTGGTGACGATTGAGTTTGTCGAGGACGAGTTAGCCGGGGATGGAATTCGGTGGCGCGGGATCGGCACGCCAGGGGCAACCGGCTAATAAATAAATCGACGCAAGATTTCGTCCCCGCGACGACGACTTGTCAACCAGCGAGAAATCCGATAATCTCTCGGCGGGGATGGGTTTTTTCGTTTCGGCGGAAACGAAAAAAGGCAAGTATGGGACAATTAATAATTCGCTCGATGCTCGCCAATTTGTCCGCCGCGGGACGAATTCCATCTCTGCTCCTTCAACTTTTTCCTCGCGGAGATGAACGGATGCGACCTTTTCAGATCGTTTCTCAAACCTTCTTCTTATCCGATCGTCACTCCTTTCGACAAATTCAGTTCCATTATTATCGCATCTTGCAGTTGTAATTGAGAAGCAAGATAATATTCAAAAATCAACTTGCAAGACATTTGTAAAAAAAGGATCTGGAATCTAACTGACTCGTTTATAATTATTTCGATGATAAACAAGTGAGTGTAAAAAAATATTTCAGATTTTGAACATTTAATATATATTTTTTATTATTATAAAAATAATTCTATTATAATTCAAGGCTGTAAGCGAGAAAAATATGTATCGGGTAATAAATATTTTCCAATTTCCACTTTTAATTTATGCGAACAAAATGATGATAAATGATGACAACACACAATTTTGTCCGACGTATTTGTACAATTACAATTCTTATGATTTTAAAGAAACAAAGCGAGAACGACGTAATATCTTCGATCGAAGAAAACCGAAAATTCTTTTTCCAAAAGAGTAATAGAAACAGAATGGAAACAGATGAGATAATAAGCAAAGTAGATACTCTCCTAATACGCATTTAACGGCGTATTAAATTTCTTCGTCGGCCGATATGAATGTATAAAAACTTTCTAAACAAACGCAGATATATCGCCTCGCGCGACAACGCGAAATAACGTAAAGAGATACGGGGGATATGGAAATTCGTAGAAGCGATACGAATAATTCATACGGAAAAAAAAACCATTTGCTAAGCTTTTAAATCGTATTTGCGATGGAATGATATTATATAAAATATTAATGGCGTTTATCGATATAAAAGATGCGATATATTATTTATTTGCTTAGCGAATTTCTACGTTTCTGCCCGCTCCCGGCTATGATTAATTGTTTGTCAATTTTTTCCCCCTCCCCCCCCTTTTTTTTACTTGGAAAATTATTTCACCATTGGCCGAATACAACGGTATCCAACAAGTGTTATTAGACCGTGCGAATTGTATCACAGTTATAAATTGCTATTCCCAAACTTTAGCGCCTATAAATTATCTTTCGCCAGGGTGCCTCCATTTTTTGCGGTATTATTTGCAAGGAGAGAGAGAGAGAGAGAGAGAGAGGAAGAAAGAGAGAGAAAAAAAAACAATGATCAATTTTGATACTAACAGTTCTCTCTCGTCCACTGATCCGGAAAGTGACGATACGAGCTGCCAGACGCGGAAACAGATCGTATCGCGCGTAAAAATTGCTCTTTCTACGCACGCGGCCGCGCCGAAACATTATCTTTCTCGTACATTTCAATTGCTCTCGATTACTTGATGCTATTAATGAATTACCGACCGAGCGAAACGGTTCCCCGATACTCCGAGGCCAATAAAAATTACCCCCAGTAAATTTGTAATCAGTTGAAAGATTGATCGATTACAGGCATATCTTCCCCTCGAAGGTAAGGGAGTTTATTCTTAGAGGGTTTTTTTTTTTTTGGAAAAGTTGAAAAAAAAAAAAATTCTATTTCGGAATTATGCATATTATTCCAGAATGGATAAAAGTGATGATCGATATTTTTTTCTTCGTAATTACACATCGAGCAATCGTTGTATCAGGGATAATTATTGAATTACGTACACATCAGTTTACATTTCAAATATTATATATCCATTATACTAGATATATTACGTGTGCATCACTTGGTCGGGCAGATAGATACTAATTGCTAATAACATTGTGAAACGTATTAAAAAAAGATTTACGTCTCTACATTTTTGCCGCGAAATGTTTCGGACGAGGTTATTCGAGCATTCGCAATACGTGCAGGAAGTAAGAATTTTTCATTTTTTTTTTTTTTTTTTTAGAAATAAGAAATCTTACTGAATCATGCGCACAGCAAAAAGAAAGAAATTAATAATCGTCCCTCTATTTAGACAAGAATAAAGAGAGAAAGACGATATTGGAGCAACGATCTCGAGATAATCGTTGCAAATATAAAATATAGAGAAGAAATATAGGGAGGAAATTTTTAAAATAGGCAAAGTCGAAGGATCGTTAATGGGCGAGTTGTGGCAGAGCTGGCAGATTCGGGCCGCGGATTCGAGCTCTCGTGAAATCTCCGTTACTCGTCCACCCATTATCCATTTACGGCCGTGTTTTATCGATCGATTGCCGGACTCGAGAGAGTCACGCGTATATCGCCTACGTACGACACGCCACGCTTCGCCGACAGAAGCGTTTCCAACATTCCTACGTCGTTACTCTCGCTCTACGCCCTGATTTCACCTCGAATTCATACGAATTTACAACCGTTCGTTCCCTCGACGAGAAAGAGAAAAAAGAAAAAAAAAAAGGAAAAAAGGAGGAGAATCTTTTATAACCGATATCTGCGGCCCAAGTTACGTGTGGCGCGAGTTACGATTCGAGACAAGACGAAACAAAAAAAGAAAAAAGGGGAGGGAAAGAAAAAAAACGTTATCGACCGGTAGTATCGTTTTCCCTGAATTATTAATATGTCCGTTCCGTTGCCCGGTTTTATATCTCGATTGATACGCAATATCGGCTCGACGTTGAACGAATGGTCGTTACATCGAACGTGTCTCCCCGTACATTGTAAACAAGGGATTATATTTTACCGATCAAAATTTCTTATAATAATTGGAGGGAAGGAAACGACAAACGGTGTTTTATTCGCGCTATATCGACAATATTCTTAACTAAATGGAAAGAAGAAGAATAGAATTCTCGTCTATCGTAATTTCGAACGATTCTCAAACGAGAAATTTACAATTGATTCTTTTATGAATTATTGATCGAGAGAGAATAAGTTATTTATAT